CGACGCCGCGGCCCGGCCCCGCGAGCCGCGCATGCGCCGCCGTGCCGGCGAAGGCATTGCCCTTACCTTGCCCGCTCGTCTACCGCTTGGTGTGGGGGCTGAGGCGGCCGCGGCGCCTTCGTCTCTGACACGAGGGCTGGAGAGGGTTCCCGAACCGCGTACCGGAGGAACCTGCAGCTCCCCGGCCCGTGTCAGGCCGCCTGTCGCTTGGGGCTGGCTGCCTCGTCAGCCCTGTGAGAAAGCCCTGAGGTGCCGTCAGTTCGGCCCTCGCGGGCTGACGGGACTGCTGAGGTGACGGCGGTCAGTCCCTCAGCGTCGAGCGCTTTCCCCGCTGGTGGGGAGGTGAAAAAAGGAGAACGTCAAATATGTGCCAGCCAGTAGATACTCGTGTACAAGACATTGGGTGTATGTGCTGGCAAAGAGCAAAACAGGACCTAATCCTGGGGTTTAACACTGGTGAGGTGTGAGTTAGGGTACGGTGTCCCGCCTGGGCACTGTACTTGGAGGCAGGTGGGGCTCGTGTGGAGAGGCCAGCCCTTCTCATGGGATTTGAGGCCTGAAAAACGTGATTTGTGAGGAAATACTGGGCAAGTTTAATCTATTTAGCCAAAAGAGAAGACAAAAGGGAATGTGGTGGGAGCGTTCAAGCATGTAAAAGCATGGTTGTGAAGAGAAAGAATAATCCATTTCCCCCATTGTGACAGGAATAGGAAGTAAGAGGCCTTAAATTGTAACCTGGACAATTTAGGCTGCTATCTCTAAAACGTTAAAAATAATACAAGGATTGGAATAGATGGCTTGGGAGATTATACATGCTTCAGCTGAAGTCCCCAAGAACAGCAGTGCAAACATCTCTCAGAAATGACACATATACTTAACTCTGGTTTGGAGCAGGGAGCTGAGCCAGGTCGCCCCTGAAGACCCTGTCCACATCCCTTATATTGTCACTGTTCGATTATGAGCTTGTTTGTTATTTATCAGGCATTTGTCTGAGCTTCCACAACTGTCTCTTTGGTGTGTGGCTGAGCTGAGCACTGTGGTACTGGACCTTGTGTCAAATCCTGCTGTTCTGGTTCGATGCCAAATCAGATACCACATTAGAAGTGTCATTTTATAACCTACTTCCTCAGATATTAATAACTGCACTAAATGCAAAGATGTAGAAAACCAGGTCTGTAATGTCTGCAGGGTCTAAAATACTTCAGGATACTTTGTGCGAGGTGTTACAAAACAATTGATTAGAACACTCAGTCATATTTGGGTACTACTAAAGCAAATGACTGCCATTTTGAAATCCAAACACAGGGTATTTGAACCTGATCATCCTTATAAGTACACTGTTGCTCAGTTTTTTCCCTTACTTAAATCCACATGCCAAAATCCAACGACTTTTATAATGGAAGAAGGAAGGATAATCTTTGCATGCAGGTCTTAAATACACTTAAGCGTCTCGTATGCAGCTTAAAATGTTTACAAGTGATAAAAACAAAATTAGGAGACTATGTCAAAACGGAAGCCTATCTAAAAAAACTACTGAAAATCCGTTTATTCTAAAAGGGTATAAATGACATATATTAGAGTGAAGAAAATTAAAGCTTATTCAAGTTAGGCAGTGATTTATAAAACTAAAATGTAGAAACATAAAAAAATTGTAGTAAACACCAGATGGATAACTTCACTTGCTAGAAATAACTGTCAAGAAGCTACTGTTTGTATTGCTGGACAACTGATCTCGTGCTGACAGTTTAACAGGAAGAGATTTACATTTGCAGATCTCATAGAGAAGAAGTTGTGTTGAACATGACCTTCTAACATTAATTCCTTTGTGACTGAAAGAAGCTCCAAGCAGATTTGTGAAAGACTGTATGCAATTTGGCTTGGGGGAAGGGGGGATTTTTTTGAAAAGTCAGAAAGTTCAGCACATTAAAAAGTTTTTATATAGCGTGACTCATATTCTGATTTAAAAATAGCTTCACTGATACTCTCTTTTTACTTACAAGTTACAATAGTGATGCATTTGCTGTGCACTTGGTTAAAAATATCGAGGGAACACGAGAGCCTCTCTCTCTCTTTTTTTTTTCCCCTGCATCCATACCAGAATGATCTTGAATTTTATTATATGACCAATTAAGTGCATGCTGGGAAGTGTCTGGGTTGCATTTTGACACAGGCTAACTACCAAGAGAAGAATATGATTCCCTATGCTTTGCCTCTTGCTGAGCTTCAGATTTTTTTTCCTAATGGATAGGATATAATGACTTTTTGGTTTAGCTTGCTTTATTGTTTCAGTTATTTGTATTTCCTCTTCCTCCTATCTTGAGTCATCTCGGCATATGAACGTGTCATTAATAAACTTGCTCTTCGCACATTTACGTTGAATTTTTTACTTGGAGGCTATTACAGTTTAGGCACTTAAATGTATAATCTGATACACTTGTCAACCCTTGAGATAGGCAGCAGAGTTTTTTTGGGGTGTTAGTAATGCATTAGACAAAGAAGACAAAGAATCTTCAGTACTATTTCAGAAACCAAATCTTATTTCTGTTTTTAATGCTTACAGGATTTGCTTTATCTACACATGCCACAAGTAGTATGCCTTAATTCACATTTTGTATATGTGATTTATATAAATACTGATGGGAAATTTAACATTTAAACCAATAAAATATATTAGACTCAACTCACTATTAGATTTTTTAATAGAAAGACATTTCTTATATGGGCAGGAAATTGCAATAACACATTTACTGATTTATTGCAATATTTTACTCTCAGATCTTCAAAATGAACTGTCATAGCTCTTCGCAGTTAATAGAATTTGAGGTTAACCAGGGAGCTGTACATGGCTGTTGCCACGGAAGAGACAGGACAGCGCAGCAGACAACCTCCATTAATCGAGGGCTCTGCTTAAACCTGGCAACAATTGTGTTTCTGGAAATCCAGGTAGGTTAATCTCACTTCTTTCTGTTTAAAAGAGGAGTTCCAGAAATACACTAGTATTGAAAGGAGAAGTAACAAATCTAGCGATGGTCTTGCGTAAATCTCGATTCATCCAGTAAGAATGATTAATCTGACCTCATTGGGCTTGGGATCAGAGCAATCCCGATTTCACACAACAGCTCTTAGGAATGGTATTCCTGGGGAGGCCCCCTGGTCATTTACTTGACGTATTTTTAGTTTGTCTGAGTGGTAAACGAGGTTAAATTCATTTTACAGCTTTCTTTTCTATTATCTGCGTTGAGCAGTTATGAACATTTGTATTTATCCACCTTGTTAACTCTCGTAAAGCACTGCTCCCCTTTAACTTTGTGTTAGAAGCGTGACTTGCGAGTCGGGTCCTCCGGCAAGAGAATCGTTGGCTCGTTTTTGGTGTAAAGCTTTTACACCGTTCGTTTCCTGATCCTCTTCCCTGATGCCAGGGTTTGTTGACGCTTGCCTGACGTTGTGGTGACAAATCACTTCGGTCTGCCAAGCTTCACTGATGCTTACAAGTCGGCAAACGATCCCTCCATCTCGATCGCATTTGGTCTCTTCCACGGGTACAGCAAAAAGGACTGGGCGAGAGAGGAGGGTAAACCTTCTGGTTCTCAACCAGCTGTCCGTTCCCGCTGCGGGTAATTCGGCACAGGCGGCGCCCAGCGCTGGGTCCTCCCGGCGGCGACCGCCGCCGGCTCCCCCCAGGGCCGCGGATCCGACCCTCGGCGCAGGCGGCGCC